CCAAAAAGAGCAGACGGGTGTAAGCGTTTCTGCTCTCCAGGTGGGTGAGGGCTGTGTGGACCACCAATGGGATGGCGTTCGCAGTACAGCAGTTCTTCCTGTAGGCATACTGGTGTGGGTCCACAGTAATGTCAATGGAGTCCTTGACCTGGGTCATGACTAGCCCCTCAAAGCACTTCATGACTACCAATGTTAATGCTATCAGTTGGTAGTCATTCAGGCCTATCACTGCAGAGAGCTTGGGGATAGGAACAATAGTGACCATCTTTAAACAGGTGGGAACAGATGCCAGTGACAGTGACCAACACCTCAGACAGCTGATGAGCACAGTCCCTGAGTACCCGCCCTGGGATGATTTCAGGGCCTGCAGCCTTAAATGAGTTGATTCCTTGGAGGGTCCTCCTCACATCTGCTATAGTCACACAGAGAGGTGTGTCACCAGGTGGTGGTCTGATGCTGAAGAGGGTGCTAGGATACTCAAAGCAGGTGTAGAAGTTGTTGGGTGCATCAGGCAGAGAGGGGTCACTTGGGCATTTGTGCATCCCTGATGTTGTAGTTTGTGATGCACTTGATGCCCTTCCACATGCACCAGGGGTTGTTGGTAGTGAAGTGACGAACTCTCTGGGCATATATGGCTTTGGCCCTCACTATTCCTGCAGTCAGTTCTTTCCTCACTTCTAGGAGTGCTGATGCCTCACCTGTCCTGAACACAGCATCCCTAGCTTTCAGCAGAGCTCTCCCCTCAGCATTCAGCCAGGGTTTCTGATTCGGATAGTACTGTCCTGGTGGTTGTGACATCCTCAGCACACTTTGAGATGAAGCTCAGAACACTAGAGGTGTATTCCTCCAGGTCCACCTCTTCATAAGTAGCCACCTCTCTGAAGACCTGCCAGTTTGTGCACTGAAAACAGTCCTGTAGCACAGAAGCTGCATCCCTGGGCCGCACAGTGACCGTCTTCATCAATGGTCTGATCTGTCTCATGAACGGTCGATATACTGGTGCCAGTAGGATGGAGATGTGGTCGGAGAGGCCAAGATGGGGCCACAACCACATAAAATGCCTCCAGGTGCTTCATCTGTAGAGAGCTAAATGGTGTCATACAGCTCCGTTGATGCTTCGTTAGCATTAGCACCCGGCAGGATGTAAACAGTGGTGACTAACACTGCAGTAAACTCTCATGGCAGATAGAACGGCCAACATTTCACTGTCATAACCTCTATCATGCCAGAGTGGCAGCTTTTATTGAGTCCACAGTTAGTGCACCAACCTTCATTCACATACATACAGAGTCCTCCTCTCTGTGTTTTTCCTGACCAGTGGTCGCGGTCCACTCGGAACAACTGAAGACCATTGATCTGGAAGGCTGAGTCCAGCATGTTGTTGTTAAGCCAGGTTTCCGTTACGCAAAGAACAGCACAGTTTTTCATCTCTGCATAAAAAATCAGTCTCAGAAGTAACAAATCCAGGAAGAGAGTCAGGATCGGTGGCTTCATAGCCTTCAGCTGGGCCAATGCACCAGCCTGCTTTCCCCTCTTCTGTTTAATGGCACAATGTTTGCGTTTGACCTTTGCTCTTTGCCAGTTTGTTGTCCTCTGGAGCCGCTGTCTGCCAAGTGCTGATTTAAACTTCATTGATATTTTAACAGCCAAACAGCCAAACAGACTGCATATGCACAAAACGAGCCTAGAAGAGATGGCCATCATCTCAGCTGAGCTGTATTTCAGCCGTCATAGCAACAACAACAACAAGAACAACAAAAAATCTAAAAAGATAAAAAGATTGGAGACAAGATACCAACCTGGTGGAGCTCAACCCGCTCATCTTTGTGCTAAGAAAGTGGACACAGCTCCTGATTTTGCTATACAGAGACTGGATATCCTTAATAGCAAAACATGTTCAGCAACCTCCCACATGACCCCAGGAGCACAGTCACAAGCCTTCTCCACAAAACCCATATAGACCGGATAGGCAAACTCCCATGACCTCTTAACAACTCTGCAAAGGTAAAGATCTGCACTGTTCCAAAACAGAAGCCACACTGCTCTTCCTGAATCCACCAGGCTTTCACCAGAGAGATCCACCCTCAGGCCTAGCTCCAGAGAGGTGCCTTGGTTTAAATTTTTAGAGCAAGGTTTCCTGATTTAAGTGTAGTTTAATACATCAAGTTTTGAACAGTAATCTTTAGTGATATGTACATTTAAAAATGTTTTAACTTAAGTTGCTAAAACACTAAACCCTGTTCTTTGAACCAAATGCTCAGTTCCCCAAACCCATTTATTAAAATGGCTACCCTTTGTCAGAACACTAAGCACGTTTCACTCAGTAAGACACAACTTGTAGACCTATTTTCACCCACTAAAACATATTTTGCCCTTTGATTCACATGGGCTCCACAATGATAAGCACAGGTAGCTAAAATGAGACACAAATAAAGCACTGCTGTCTGAACTGAAACACAGCAAATCAAAATAGATCACACACGTGTGTCTAATGATGTGACCAAACAAATACAAGGCAGTACAAGGAGCCCGGTCATCGAAGCTTCACTATGAATAGAAACAATCACAGAGGCAAATACTCTAAATGTATATACAATAAAGGACTGGATGTACTTTTGTTGGTGTAATGTATTTGTACACTTACATAGAAACAAACTATATATATATA